GCAAATCCTACGGGTTTTAGCATGCAACACGTAAACGTGGGAACTAACCGAGTGTTTGCGCATTACAGGATTCATCCAACCGAGGATAATAATACGATGCTTTACGTTCCAAGAGACCCCGTCACTTTGACAGTCAAATTACACGTACACGCACATGCCACATCACCCCACTTTGAATTATCGTTTTATTATTTTTATATCAATTTACTTCATTAATTCTCTTGCTCTTGTCATAATCTTATATTGTCATCATTCTCTTTGTCATAAATGTCACTTTTTGCAAAATTATATTATATTACTGACAGCTGCAACTAATAGTCAACAATGTATTTTTTTTGTATGATTTATGTTCTTTTATTAGCTTAAAAAATTGGGCATGATCAAACAATCGTTACTGAAATAGAAGAACGATTCACTTGTTTTATATCTCTTGGGAACTAGCTAAGGGGTTGTTAGCTGACCGTGTAACAGGCCTCAGTGGGATCATCTTACTCCACGTCGACCTGTCTCTCGATTTAGTCTACAAGGATGCCATCCCTTGCTAAATTTATCTTCCTATTTCGTTGTGTAAGATCAAGAATTTCCCTTTGTTTAATTATTTCATTAATGATCCCCTTTTTTTTAACTTAATTATCTGAAAATGATTTCCAAACATTCCATACAAACAATCTTTTAGCAAATAAATTATTACTCATTGCTAAAATATAAAAATTATTGATTTATTTGAATAGAAATAGATTAAAAAGGAGGTGAGATCTCATTACATTGCCGGCTATAAAATTTTATTGAGTTTTGGGATGTAATTATTTAACATTACAAAGTATGAAAACTCTTTTGAATATTTAAATTGATCTGCTCTAATGACATGATTATTAGAAGTATTGTGTTTGATAATAAACATTAAAAATTAATCTTAGTAATAAAAAGGATTTCTTGTAAATGGAAATGAAGATCACTTCTGCAACAGTTGTGAAGAAATAAAAAAAACTCGACAATTTTTCTAACAACTATTAAGTAAACGAATACGATATTTTTGCGTTTCTCTTGTCACACCCATTAATCAGTGGAAAATACAAAGTGGTTCTTGATAATGAGGCCACTATATACACAGGCGCCAGAACTATTTCTCTTTTTATATACATATGTATTATGATAATGTTATTTCTTATTATCAATACTTTGAACATAATTCTATCAGTCGCATGTTCTAGCGCTTTCACTACTTGTCTTTATTGAAATCTGTATCCGGAGCTGGCAATGGTATCAGTCGATGGCACGGACACGTGTTTGTTCTTTAATATATCGCAGAAAGTTCTCATCTCACTTTCTCTGTTTCTCGTTTTCCATAAAGCCACTATGCATGCAATTGAATACGAATTTTTTCCCAGAATTTGTGAGTTATTTTTCTTCAATGACACTTGACTGAATACATTTGGCTGAGTGAAATTTTTTTTTAGTATGAAAACGAGTGTGAAGAATAAAAGCAGAAGGCTGTAGAAGAGAAGTGATTGGAAGAAAGAAGGATTTTGTCGATGAATGTACCCAGGATGTCGCGACAGTCGGCATCCGGGAGGTGAGGACTTGATCCCCGTTCGTTATCTCCTTCCCAGAGGCGTACAGAGAGAGACTCTAAGTGGTTATATTTGCGTAGAGGTAATGGGGCAAGTTGGACGATGAGTGTACGCTGAGGGAGTTGGTGGTGAAATGGAAGCAGCTAGGGAACAGTGGTGGTAGTGGTGGTGAAGATACTGGGGTATAAAATTAGTTCAATAAAGGAACACCCACGCCCTTCGTAGAAACATTGTCTTTGTCACTCTCTCATCATTTACTTTATCTCTTTTGCTCCTCATAACTTCTACTAACCCTAATGATACACACAGTAGTCCTTGGAATTCGTTGCAGTATTGCCAAACGAGCTCAGTCATTGTACATTCAACTATGCCGACACTGAATCTTAATCATACGCACATGTTGATTTTAATTTAATGAAAGATTTACTCGACAAGTTGTTGTCTGTAAAAAAGAAAATTCATTCCTCCTTTCTGTGTTATTCATGTAATTAAGTTGTATTAATAAATCTGACACAACAAGGAATTCTTTCATTTCTCTGGACATTGAATCAACTTTTTATCAACACCAACATTCAATGGAACATCACTTTTAGTAATTATCTATTTATGAAAGCTAAAAAAAAATTAATCAATTAATGGAAAAAACAAAGAGAAGAGAAATAGTCCATTAAATTAATTATATTAGAAAACGTTAACTCATTTTATTCATTCCGTTGGCTTGCTCATTTAATTTACTGTCAATATCCTCAAATCTCTTCATCGTACTCTTGTTGCTTTTATGTCCATTCTGTGTATAATTCTGAGGTTAGTTATTTCTTCACCTACTTCTCTTAATTAATTTCTACTATTTACTCTACTGATTCAAGCATAATATTTAGTCAACGATTTTTGACCTCGACTAACGGCCAAACCGGGACTTCTACCTACGCTAGCTGAGAATTGGAATCATAGCTAGCACGAGATCCATTTAATTTAGTTCCTTGCTCTGATGTTTTCACTACCTAGCTTTTGATAAATGAATGTACATTTGGCTGAACATTATTATATTCAACGTGTAGATTTAGTGCAATTTCATTAGTAGATTATTTAACGGTCCATTGAATTCTCAAAGTTAATTGAATATATGGCCAAAAGGTTTTTCTATGTGTAGTTAAAATTGGTAATTGTAGCATTGAAAGCAATTATTTTATAGTCTGCTGAGTATTTTTTAATTAAAGGATTTATTTTACTCTAAAGTCTGAAGCATTACTTCATTGATTATTTTTTTTTTTTTTTTTGAACTTATTAATAATATTTAAATGAAAGTAATAACTGTCAGATGTAACTGGAGATGTTGGAAATTTATTCTCAGTGATAAGTTGATGGAAATAATGAAGATATAAAAGACAAGCATGTGAAGAAAAAATACAAACTGATACAAGAAAGTTAATAAATATAAAACTAAAGACAAGTTTTCTTGTAATGTTGGCAAGAATACCAGTTGCCAGGTGATCAATGGATCAATTGAGATTATAAAAATTGATAATATGATATTTCAGTTAATGAAATACTATACAAATCATTTGGAAATGAAGTAATCTTATTTAATGGTAATTATAGTCTTGTACCCTGGTGAACATGAACTGTTTAAATCATTCCAGGTGTTTCATCTGGTTTCACTGGATCTATTCCAACTTCTTAAAATGAAAAATGAGCAAAATTGTTTTTTTTGTTCAATCAGAGTTTTATAATCATCATCTTTTTTTGAAAAATGCCTAGTACACTTGTTTGAAACTTTGTAAACTTTCATTACAATTTTTTTTTGTAAAAGTTTAGATACTTCCTATGATTCAGTTGGTGTTCAAGATTAAAAAAAAAATTGATGTGAGTGAATATTATTCAACGATCTTGAAAGTGAGAGCAATCTCATAAATGTTTGCACCTATCCCACATGTAAAGTATTCAATAAATGTAGGTACTCATTTTCCTAAGTGTGCAGATAACCGCATAGTCACTATATCTACCTTGGAAGGTCATATTCGAAGTGCTTGGGTTCACACTACTTCGGCAAAAAATCTGCAAATGGTTTTTTCCTGACTTGCATTCAATTCGTTTAAAACCAAATACCTGAAAAAAGAGTGGAGTATTTCTTTCTTCCCATTGGATAAATGAGTTATTTATAAATCAACAAATCGATAGAAATTCAAACAAAATATATTTTTTTAATTAAAAATACACAAAATTATTCGGAGAAATATAAATGTAAAACAGCAGAGGTCACCAGTCTTCCTTTTTGTACTTACAGTTGAATCTCTATTATTGAATCAACGTACATTTTCCTGGCGCTTTATTCTCCACTATTTCGTCTCCGTTTTATCAACGGTAGAACCGCGAACCAACGTCGAGACAGCTTATTTATTTTTGCCAGTCGGACGCGTCCGGTTTCGTGAACCGCTCTTGCAGAAAGCTTGCGGTCAATTAGTGTCCCGTGGGATTTTTAAATAAACACTCGTTACTGGTACTTGAAATAAAAAGCTTGGGTTTAATTAGATGAGCTCTAGACGAAAGAGTAAAGTTTAAATAACTCTCTCAATATTTTTAGGATACACAATGGCTATTTCATAATTATAACACAGCTAATTTGCATTATTCAGATCTCGAAAAATACAACACTAAGACAAAAAAAATATAATACCAAGAGTTAATAAAAAAAAAAAAAAACAATTGACAAAAGAGAAAATGAATAAAAATAACAAAAAATATTGTACATGACGGTTTCTTACCACCATTTCAAACTGGAAAGTTTCTCTTGATTAATTTTCATGTACTTTTTACATTTTATCATAGTTGAATACTTTTACTTACCAACCTGTCTTTACTACTCCGTATAGAAAAGGCTAATTATATCAATACAAAAAGCATTAAATATTTAATATCTTATTAGCTTGATATTTAATCAAGGATAAGTGTGAATAAAAGAGCAACAAAAATAACCAATGTGGGTCCAAGTTCACTAGGCTAGTAAGTCAATTATTGGCAGGTCATAACAGCTGACTATGATCATTATAACTGTCAGCATATCCTTCATATTTATATCTACTTTTCTAAATGATAATTGGCCATGTCTGTATTAACATTGTTCTTCGTTTTCAATCGAGAAAAGAAAGCACCTCATTTCCTTGACAATATAGTTTAGTGGTGTCATTGGTCATTTTGGAATAACAGTCTATGATCACTCGGATATAAAATATATGACAGTTGTACTCAATTTCATTATGTGTAAATAATTTCAGAGGGAATTGATAGTAATAGTAATAACTTTCTTAGTAATACTTTGTGACGTGTAAACACAGAACAGTAGAAAAGGAGAAGCTGGAGTGAGAGCTAGCTAGTAGATATAAGGGGAATCATGATGAACTGCATTTCTCAGTCTTTTGCTTCACGCGACAAGTGAACTTACCACATTCACATGCTTATATCGCGGTTGATATTTCCACGACCGCTTCCATGAAACGTTTATGTGAACATTTATCATTTACAAAGTGATCTTCAGTTGTTTTTAAATTTCCTAGATCATTTGTTATGTGTTTTTTATTGTAAAAAATCAGTGATGTTTCTCACACAGGTTTCATTGATTTTTATTACATTTTTGATTACTTCATCTCATGCACTCTTCTTTCACTAGTACGTGCTTATCGATTATTTTATTACATTTTTATTGGTGCTATAATATTAACTTCAACATGATTTATCTTTGGTGCCTTTGAGTTTAAATGATTTATACTAAATTTATTAGGATGTTTAATGAATTGAAATATTTATTTTTTAGTGAATAAAAAAAATTTTGGTAATGGTGAAATCAAATATTAAATTGAATTGCTTGATTCACCTTATCTATAAAGAGCATATCTATTATCTTTATGATACATTTGAGTATAATTCAAATAATAATTCATTCATGTTATATATTACAGCTCTAAAAATGCCCTAATGGATTTTTTTACTTCTCTGAGGGAGAAAAAAGAAATGAAATCTCCAAATGTACATCATTATCATTTACATTACTATCCAGTGATGGTACCTCCTGTGCTTTCATCCATAAAGCCCATAAAAGCACCTGATAAACAGGAGTTGGAAAATTTACACACGTAAGTAAATTTCTAAAGTTTCAGTCAATAAGTTACGTGTCAGTATTGGTGTGCTTTACCGATTACAGGAATAAATTGGAATCTCATGGATGGAGTAATCAAGAATTCAAGCATATTCCAGATCCATCGATTCATTACAGTTCTAGCTTGGAAAATTGGTCTAATTCTATATCATATCGTCCAAGCTTGGGCTGGGATGAGGGCATTGGTGAGTTCAATTGATATAGCAATGATTTGTTCACGATAACAATGTTAATTTTATGATGTTGTGTTTCAGATCGCAAAGAAGAAGCTAAATCTAATGGTAGAATTGTAGTTCAGGTTCCGTTAAATCAACAAATAATCCTACAATCACCACCAAAAGAAGAGAAAATGGAAAAAGAATCCAATCCTCTTTTATCTTTTTTCCAAAAACTTCGACATATAAAGAATTCGATTTTCCAATCCACTGGAAAGAAGGAGCATGATGATGATGATGATGAAGCTGAAAAGACCAATCATTTAGGGGGTGTTGTTATCTATACTCATCCTAATGGAATAGGAAGTTTTTTTAAAAAAATATAAGTAATACTTCTAGATCATTTCAGCTCATTTCTAGCAGTTAGAATAATTTAAAATTCATATTCCAAAGCTGAATATTCGAAATTATTGTTATTTTTTAAAAATTTATATGACTTCTTGACATCTGTTATTTTTTTAATAATTTAATTATATCAAGAACTTTGTTTTTCTGTTGATTAAATATATTTATAAGCTAGAACTAGATTATAATATTTCGTTATTGTTATGTTATTTAAAAGAAGATAGATGTAAAAGCTAAAATACCCCACAAGTATTAAAATTCAATGGCATGGTTTGATGTTACCAAATACAAACATTTTGTTGCTAATTTTTTAATAATAAAAAACTAAGAAATTCTTGTCGTTGAATTATTTTTCAGAAATAAGTCAAACACTAGATTGCATTTAGAGTGTAAAAAATGTAAAAGAGTTGGTAATATTATGTTGTTGATATTTTTAGAATGAAATTACCATTAAAATTATTGCCAATAAATCTTTTAAATCCTCTTAGTGTAATACGTGAAATTGGAATATTTCAAGATTCGACTGCCTTCGTCACGAATTTTTGCAGAGTATTGGAAGCAGATTTCTTAGAAATCCTAAAAGGATAAGTATTCAAGGAATATTCATCGTGAACTCAAATATCCATAGACGATATAGGAGTTGTATGAAAAGACATGGTCTAAAGGCTGCAGCATAGAGGACACGACATAAATATGGTATACACAGAGTTATTTAAGGAGCTATTACATTTTTATAGCTCAGATGACGCATGGTCCTGGTGGTAGCGTACCATGTCGTGGCATGAGTACATATATAGGTTAACATAGTGTCGTATTCCTTACTAGAAGCAATTCTCCAGAACGTCTTTATAAGCGTACAAAATATCTTTAGTACAATTTGCTTTGTCGTCTAAATCTTGATCCAGTCTGACTTTTTTTCTCCAAACATATATTGCGGTATTCACTGGGTTTTAATTTATTTTTTATAGTAGTCCACAATCGCTGTTAAAGTCGACAATTTTTTTTAGCGAAAAGGAATAAATATTGGTGAGGATCATATATTTTTGAACTGCACTAGGACAAGTGTAGTACAAGCGTACCAATTATTTTATGGCTTGTGGTTAGGATTCTAAAAAGTATCACTTTTAAAACACGTCATAAAACACAACGAGCTGCCTCGACAATTGGTGATACCATGGTTGAGGCACTGGAATCGGTTATATTTAAAATTCAGACTAGGATGGCCCACGTATTTTTATTGTAGAGTGTAAAAATTTTAAACGATCATATGCATCAGACACTCTGTTATGACTTGAAAAAAGTCACAAAGTGATTTGAAAAATGTTGTGGTTACCAGAGAACTAGAAAATAAAATTTATTTCGCAAATAAAAATATTGATATTCTTTAAATACATTTTGTTTTACAATATTTAATACCATCTTAAATTGATATTATTATATTAATATGCGATATTATTGTTATTGATATAATTATTTGAAATAAAAAATCACAGTAGAAAATGATTAATAATTAACTCTGGTAGATTAATTATGAAATAACCTTTCAAAAAATTTCAATCATAATTTTCCGATAATTATAACCAATATAAAAGGGGTATATAGACAGATTACGAAGCCATTTAATGAGCAGTCGATTTTGATCGAATAAACAGAGCGATTTTAATTATTCAATTATTATTCAAAGAGAGCCGCATAATTAAATATTCGAAATTATCAATTCTCTTGGAAATTCACTACAAAGTCGCTTTAATAAAATCAGCCAAAGCTGCGTGGTTGAGCTCAACATGAACGTCACTTTAAAGTGTGTGTTTTCGTCTGGCATTAACTGGCAGTATACTTTCGCTTTCGATTTCCCGTACGCGTTAGAACATTTTCTGGATGCTCGAGATACAACACACACCGAGTGATTCGTTCGTTCAACCGGTCGTCAAAACTACGAAGAGAGAAAGTCGTCACTCAGTTTGCGCGAATAATTAAAAAGTAAGGGATGAAAGAGAATCAGAAGGACCAAAGCCGCGGATGAGAGATCGGCGTGCTCGTCCGAGGGAAAGAAGAAAATCTAATTAATTTCTGACCATGTACACGCGGGTTTTCCGTATACGTACGTCCGTTGGATAAAAGAGAAATGAGGGAAAAGAAAAGAAAAAAAAAAATAAAAACACTGGTAAATGTTGTTTTAGGCTTTTATACCAGGCGCCACCCACGTAAAATTTGCTCAGGCACATCATGCAGGATATAGAGAGACAAATGTATGTAGAAGAGACGAAAAGAGGAAAGAACAAGTTAAAGCGTTGGCTTGCCTAGAAACGAATTTAATTTTTTGTTCGCCTCCACCTACCGTTGCAATTAGAAACGAGCTTACGCTTGATGTCCGAACACGCAGAAGAATCAACGGCACTCTTTTTCTTCCCGTCATGTTTCGACGTTTCCATTCCGCCGATAAAACAGGAAAGGAAATTGAAAAAATTTATCCAATCTCTCAACAGTTATTTGCAGTCAGGCTACGTGTTAATTACAATTCAAATGTCACAATTAAGTCTGATAATTTTATCTAATTACATTTTTTCATCTCTTCTTCTTTATCATTTGATTAGCATCCTCAAAAAATTTCGGTTTAGCTTTTGGAGCAGCTTGAAAACTCATTATAATATAATTTGATTATTTGAAGATGATAATTTTATGAAGATGAAAAAATAGGTAGAAAATTTATTTAAATTTTATTTAAACAACTAAGAAGCATCCTCGAGCGATTGCCAAGCTATAACTCAAAGTAAATAGCCAAGACATTACACTTTTGTATTGCGATATTTTATTCAGTTCATAAAACGTGTTCCAATAACGTATCGCTTCGATACGTGCTTCAATTTTATCTGAACATTACGTACGTTCTTGTTTTTTCTACGATTTCCTATCCTCTACTTCTCAATTTTCTTTATTCCTTTATTTTAGTTTCATTGCTACTTTTATGTATTACACAAACACATTATGGTCTTATGGAACGTCACAAATATGTTGATAAGAATATTTACTTCGATAAAATGGCGATAAATATCAATGAAGGAATTAGTTTAATTAATAATATAATTCGCCTTAGAGCCACGTCCTTCTGATACATTTGTGTTTCACCACATCTTCTATTCAGCACGAGTTGCTATCACTTCTGAGGTGCCAAACAAAAGACACCTATACTAAAGCAAGTCTGGGTAGCTTAGAGAATTGTCTACTACTGTAACCAATCAGCTAATGACCGTCACCCTCAAGTCTCACGAGTTGTCTCTTTTCTGTGGGGATTTTTCTTACAGCTGTTTCCTTTTCTCTGTCGACCTTTTTCTTCGCCCCTTTTTCTCACTACAAATAGTTTTCAAACCATGTTGTAAAATTATTTCAACACTTTCCTCCTTTTTTCGAATAATAAAAAAGACGATATTTTTATAAAACATCTTTTTTTCTGATTAATTATAGTAATTTTAGAGATAAAGTGAATTATTAATCAATATTTTTAATCATGGACTGATTAAATTTCAAGAGGTCTGTCATTTCAAAGAATATCATATTGAAATAACTTGTTCCATTAGTAAAGAAGCTGGAGCATTGTCGAAGTTATGACTTCCTAAAAGTAATACTGTCTAATGTGCTGCTGTTAGACTCGACTTGTACGTGAGAATAAAAAAGCAGTCATTATAGAAGGTGTGTGAAAGCCAAGTGTCTTGGGATTTGCACCTTTTTTACTCACTAAAATCTACCCTAAAAGCCCAACAGCATCTTACACGTTGTTTCGAGTAACTGTATGAAAACGATCATGGATCCAAGCTCCAAAGGCATTTCTCAACAATTGCAAAGTAATCCCAACTGCTATTAGTTGATCATCATTTTTAATACTTTAATGTATATCATCATGAAGCGTTTTTTAAAATTTTTTTCTCCTGAATTTCAAAACACACTTACATTACCCTATTTCATATCTTGTCCTTTACATTCATTTTTCAACACTACATCTCATGAAATGTTGATACTTTTGATAAAATTGAGATTCATCTCTTATTAATGTTCAAAAATAAATTATATTAATGAATTAAATAGATATACATGTTGATGAACCATTATTAAGCTGATTTTTAAATAAATAAATTATTCCTAATGGCTAACAAACCAGTCTTTTCCAGCAAATTAATCTATTCGTCCTGATTAAACTAAATTAATTATTCATTTAATTACACTTCGATTAAACATGCCTAAAAGTTTGTTGAATGAAATAATCAATGTTTCTTGCATTGCTTTACATCCAATAATTATCTCCACTAATTAATTTCTATCCAATAAAAATCCAGTATAAAAATGTTCTCAAATCCGAGCTATCACTAAAAAACAATCCCCTCTAAAACTCCTCTATTTTTGAGAGAATTATTTTTCATTTCAATTTTTCAATTACAGTTCGTAATTGATCGTGGGCGGTAAGCAACAGCAGAATCGATAATCTATCAATGGTTTATAGATAATTTCATTACAAACTCAACAATATGATGTAAGATTTAATTGGATGCAGAATTGATTGACGTGATCGAGTTGTAATCGAAGCTTGAACATATAACCCACGTACAAACTGGAATATTGAAAATTCTGAATACTGGTTTCATTCAAATTGTGTATAGGTAGAATTCTATAGTTGAAAGGTTAGAAAAGAACTTGCATTTCGATTTGTTGCATGTATACTGCAATCCATCATTAGCCATCCAATTAGTCAGGTTGATTAATTATCGTGTTGAATAAGTATTGATGTTATTTGATATTAGATGAAACTAATATTAATATAATAACAATTATCCTTCGAACAATATTCAAACTGGACTACCTATCCAAGTAGTCTATTATTATTCATGATCCTTTTATTATTAAACTGAATGAAACGATGGACAAAAACTAATGATTTAAATTAAAGTAAAAATAGCTAAAAACTTGTCAGATATTTTCTATCATTTTGTAAACATCAGTTTGTTATCTAAATAGTACTCTTGGGTGGCATAAATGATATTTTATTATTTGTTGGAGATATTCAAGCTTAAGGAGCAGCGATAAGAACAGTAGGAACATCA